GAGAAATCTGATGCTGTTTGAGTCCTTTCCTTGTAATAGTTGCTTTAAATACAGAAGAGCAATTATAGTACTAGAAAGTAAACTAACCGTGTTTTTGACAGGTAGAGCTAAAAGCTGAAGCAGTAATGCACCAATGACGGAGCACTGCTAGTCTTTATACATCCATGGCCTCTGTGCAAATGATTCCAGACTCTTACAACTATGTGCTGGCAGAGTTTGAATGTTTGGATCCGTTGCTTTCTGCACTCAGGCTGGATTCTAGTCGCCTGAAGGTGAGATTGTGCTGTTTATTTAAAAAAAAAAAAAGCGTTAGTTATGTTGTTTGCTTTATTATTCGGATTAACGCATAAAATAAATCTAGTTCTCTATGCGTGCGTGCATGCTAGCTTATGGGGGAAGGAGAAGTAAAGACAGAAAATCTTACTACTCTGTATATGTTTTCTTAAGGGAGCAATAGGATTTAGAGGGTTCCTTGCTTCTCCTGTTTGCTCCAATCTTGGAGAATGTTATTCTAATATCTTTGACAACAACTGTGCTGCCAGCGTTTCAGGAGTGGTACGCAAAGCTTGTAAACACTGAACTTACTTTAACAACAAAGAAGTTATTGTGAGAAAATATACCGTTATTAGTACTTGTTACCTGCTGTCTTCCATATTATGATTGTTATTCCTTCAGTGCACGTGCATAGCCGTGTCCAGGAGATGGTTAGCTCTAGGCACTTCAGGAGGAGGACTGAACCTTATACAGAAAGAAGGTTGGAAGCAGAGGCTCTTTCTGACTCATAAGGTAAGGGTAAAAAACTATGCACAACATTCAGGGAAAGTGAGAGTGGAAGAGAAACCTTGTTCCAATTTCCCTTTTATTAAGGCAGTTAACAGGTGTTTTCCACTTGCTGAACACGCCGAAGAAGGTGAAATTTCAGACTCCTCAATTAAAAAAAAAAAAAAAAAAAGTTGTAGTAGAGGGGTATATCCCCAGAGTATGCAGTACAATAGATTTCATGAGGTGTGAAAGAAATGATTTGAGAGTGACAGACCTCTCTGTTCTTCAAATCCTTACTTTTAACAATGGCAAGAAAAAAAAACCACCTGAATAATTACGACTCGGAAGAAAACCTTGAATATGAAACCAGAGTAACTAACTTGTAGATAACTATCAATGTTTGGGTGTCCAAACTATGAACTACTTGGATAAACAAAGGAAAGATAAGCTTACTTCCTTTTCCTGAAAGGAGACAAGGAACATTGAGGCAGTGAGTGTTGTTTCTATGAATGCTGTTTCTACAAGCAGATGCTGTTTTGTGGGAGCCGTTGCTACTCACACCATAACATGAATGCAGCCACCTTGTAAGGTTGGGAACATCTAACTTAATTCTGGGAGAACAACTTCCATAAACACAAGGGCAAGAGACTGATCTCTGTTTCCAAAGCAGAGAGTGAAGTGATGTTGTTTCTCTTGATGCTTTCATGTTGTTGTTGTCACCTGAATCATTTTAGAGTAAATTCACCATTGCAAATAAAACCCAAATAAACACCACAACAACCTGGTAGCAGCTTTGACTGTTGACCTTAATACGTTTTATTTCATACAGAGGGATAAAAATTGCATGTTCATAGAGGTAGTGCAGGAATCCTTTTACCTCACTTAAACCCTTTGCTTCCAGGAAGGTGCCATTTCCCGGATTGCCTGTTGTTTACATGATGAAGACTATGTTGCTGTAGCCACTAGGTGAGCGGTGTACTTAAAATATGTATCAAGCTTTCGGGTTTGTAAAGTATGCGTCTTCATCACTGATAAAACACTGAACATCTTATTCTTAAGTTTCGTTTCCTTTTAACTGCTGCAGCCAAGGTCTTGTAGTAGTCTGGGAGTTGAATCAGGAACGTCGTGGGAAGCCAGAAAGGATTTACGTTTCCTCTGAGCATAAGGGCAGAAAAGTCACAGCTCTGTGTTGGGATACAGCTGCGCTTCGGGTTTTTGTAGGAGATCATGTGGGAAAAGTATCAGCTATCAAGATTAACACATCAAAACAAGGCAAGGTAAATCTTTACATACTTTCTTTGAGATGAGTAAGTTCCCAAGAGCTGAGATAAGGAATCTTTCTGTTTATTTTAGTGAAGTACAACAGAAGGAAACTTGTCAGTTGATGAAGTTCTGGTAGCTTTTGTGTCCGCTGGGATGAAGAACTAGTCTCAAGGAGAAATCTTTACTTTTGAATTTTTTTTCACTCTACTTCTAGTTAATTTGGTAACACAACATAAAAATGCTTTGAAATGTACAGAATTAAGAATTAAATATTTTGATGCATGATTTGGCACTACAAAGAGAAATTGAATTCAGACTGACTTTGTGTGGGCAGGTACAGATGGAAATTTGCCCAGACCTCAAAAATTTGAGCGAATCCACAATTTACCTTAAACACGTTTGCCATAACTTGGTTTCGTAGAATTCCTTTCAGCATAGAATAGGGTAGTATTAAAAATGTTTGTTACTCCTGGCTGAAGTTCTCCTTCCTGGAATTTACAAGTAGCCAAGCCCAGGGTCTTAGTGTTTCTGAGCCTACTGGACTCCATAGACTCCAGCTACAGGTTCAGCTGTGTTTCTTAGTCCTCAATTCAGATGTTAGCTGGAAAAGGGCAACGCCAGGCTCTGGTTTTCTTGGATTCCTGGATCAGCATGGAAGCTCCACATAATTATCCAATTTCTGAAATGCATTTTTTCCAGGCTCTGTCTTGGTACTTCTATTCTTAATGATGTGAGTTAGTTGAAGGTGGCCCTCAAGCTTAAATGCGTTCTGTCCTGTGCAAAAGGAACGCAAGTTAATGAATGGCAGTCTTGACTTCTTGCCCTTCTTGAAGTATTCTTTAAGTTTTACTGTTACTAGGTCCTTTCCTCCTCCTTTTAATCTATAAACCGCAGCACAACCTGGAACTAGCTGTGTTCTTGCAGATCCTCTTTAGCCTTCCTGAAATGTTTGGAGGAAAGTTGACTTAAAGGCAATAGTCTTGCTATTTCTATAGTGAGAGGGGAGGGGGGAAACTGTGGGAGGAGAGGGAAAAGAAGAGGAGAGTAGGGCAATATTCGTGGAATACCTACCTGCTTGTGCCTGTTAAGGGGATTGGACTGTTGATTCTCTAACGTAAAGAATCCAAATAAGGAATTGACACGTTCCTAACAAAGAAAACAGCTTTAAATCGTCAAAGACGGTGACTGTCTGCTAGAAAATTTGAGCCTAGCTCCTGTAGCTTTATGACTTCTCTTATTCATAAGCAGTCTCTCTATGACTGACTTTGTTTTGCCACCCATGCAAATTAGGAGAATTATATGATAAATAGTGTTTGGATAATTTACTACAGAGTGATAGAGCAAGTGTGTAAATTTATGTAAGCCACCTAAATCTGAGGGAAGTTTCTTATGTTAAGTAAACCCTCAGATCTGACTCCACGAGACTGTTTGCTGGCTGAAAGTACCAATGCTGGGGGAGGAGGGTGGAGAGAATCAGCAGAAGAACAAAGTTTGCAAAAGCAACAATAAAAGACCTCTTATGTTACAGAAAATATGTTCCTCATAAAAAAAATGAGGCTGCTTTGTGAATGAGATTTTTTTTTCTTTTTTTCCCCTCTCTCTCTGTAAATCTTCAAAAATGGTTTTGGGAAGAGGAAGACTTAAAGTTTTATGTCTCTAAGCATTAGAGCCTTGTTTTTTAAGGGAGTGAGAAGAAAGGAATTGCACTGTCTTGCTTTGTCTTATTCCATATAATCATAGTATACATTTTACATTTTCCAATTTTAACTTTATGAAATATTATTTACATTGAACTGAGGCTCAGTATGTTTTTTTTTCTCTCTCTCTCTCTCTTTCTTTTTTTTTCTTTTTTTTTTTTTTCTCCTCTTTAACCTTAGGCTGCTGCCACTTTTGTGATGTTTCCTGTTCAGATTATAACCACTGTAGACTCTCGTGTAGTTCAGCTTGATTATTTGGATGGAAGACTGCTCATATCTTCACTTACACGTACTTATTTGTGTGATACTGAGAGGCAAGTAATATTTTACTTGAAATATTGGACTCTACGGAAGAATCACAAAGAGTAACTGCAGTTGGAAGGGACCTCTGAAGATCACTGAGTCCAGTTTTCCTGCTCAGAGCAGGGTCACCTAGAGCAAGTTGCTCACAACTGCGTCCAATCAGGTTTTGAATATCTCCAAGCGTGGAGACTCCGCAACCTCTCTGGGCATCCTGTTCCAGCATTTGGCCATGCTCATAGTAAAAAAGCTTTCTTGACGTTTAAATGGAATTTCCTGTACCTCAGTTTGTGCCCGTTTCCCCTTGTGCTTTCACTGGGCACCACTGAGAAGAGGCTGGTTCTGTCATCTTAACTCCCTCCCATCAGGTATTTATACACAGTGATAAGACCTTTGAGGCTGAACTATCCCAGCTCTCTCAGCCTCTCCTGGTACGTGTCAGATGCACCAATCCCATAATCCTCTTTGTGGCCCTTTGCTGGACGCCCTCCAGTGTCTCCGTGCCTATTTCCTCACGTTTTCCTTAGTCTTCCTTTTGCTGCTGGTATTCTTGCAGAAGCCCTTCGTGTTGCCCTTCGTGTCCCTTGCCGGATTCAACCCCGGTTGACACTTGTAAATATTGTTTCACAGTGTCTTTTATAATAATTTAAAATCATTACAGACTTGTAAACAAAACCAAAACCAAAAACCAAAACAGTTCAGCGTTTTAAGCATTTTGACTCATCGAGGAGAACATAAAATTAAATAGATACTGTATTAATGCTGCCTAAATAAATCATTTTGCCCACCAGAGAGAAGTTCTGGAAAATTGGTAACAAAGAAAGAGATGGAGAATTTGGAGCCTGTTTCTTCCCAGTTGGAAAGAACGGTGGGAATCAGCAGCCATTGATATATTGTGCCCGGCCTGGCTCAAGGATGTGGGAGGTGAACTTTGAAGGGGAAGTGCGAAGCACACATCAGTTCAAGCAGCTGCTGTCATCACCGCCTCTCCCTGTTGTTACTCTCAGGTACTAGTGTGAATTTTATCAACGAGAAATTGGCTTGTGACTTCTAGTCTGAGACGAATGGCATTAATACTGAGAAGCTGAAATGAACTCTTAGTGCAGTCCATCTTAATCCTACCTCTAATCTTAATACATTCCACTGTAGTAATTGAAGCCAGTAGTTGAGTTACCAAAAATAAAAAGGCCTTGGTTCTGCATGTGTATCTGTGTGACCACCGCAATGAATGCGTAAGACTGCGCACGTTTCAGCCAGCCTTGTGTTTACAGGTTTAAGACTATTATACTGCGTGTTGTAGTTATGTCTGGTAACAGATAATTTTACTTGTTGCTTTATAGGCTGGATCCTCATTATACTGGTTCCAGCTGTTCTCCACAATCTTTATCTTTCCCCAAGCTCCTATATTTGACGTAAGTATTTGTCAGTACGGTGCCCTGTTGATAAAGTGGATTTAAAAAAAAAAAAAAAAAGTTGTACAGCCTTCTAATCTGTCTTATCATCTTAGTCTTTTTGCATAAGACTTTTCTAAGTATTGTGCTAAAGAACAGTCTCATTTCTCACTTGCTGTACTTAGCATATGCAGGGATGACACTGGCTTACAGTGACTGCCTGTGGCTGGTGCAAGCAATTTTTGAATACATATCTGTTTTGTTGACAGTGAGCACTGTGTAATGACCTGGACGGAAAGAGGCATTTATATCTTTGTTCCCCAAAGTGTTCAGGTCTTACTCTGGAGTGAAGTAAAAGGTAAACTTTAAGATTCTTATCTTTGCAATATTGTCTGTCACTTCTGAAGTCCTTGCCTAGAACAGAGCTTTTTCAAGCTTTGTTTCCACAGCTAGATTGTAGAACGTTTGCCATAAAACTCATTTTCCTTATCTGTCGCGTATATCTTTGAGTACTAAGAAAACAATCACTCTCCCCCAGCCACCCCTCCCTCCATACTACTAAAAACATCTATACAGATGCTTGAGAAACAAAACATAAGTGCATTGTGAATCTGAGGATACAATTATCAAGTACAGTGAGTGAATAGCCAAGTTTGCAGTATCCTTTCCTCACTTCTATTTGTTCATGTTTACTCTCAGATATCCTCTGAAGGGTAATCTGGCTGCTGAAAGCTTGAAACTTTATTTTTAACATCTGTCTGAATCAAAACCAGGGAAAGTACTTTAGAGAACTGGTACATAAGTGTAGCCTCATAAATGGTTACGTGTATATGGTTATTACCATAGTCCTAGAACTGCTAGGGTCATTTTCTCTCAGTCCCTCCTTCCCCCTTTTTTGTTGTTAAATTTCTAGAGCCTTTGTCATGGAGTGTTTGCATGTAACATGGCTGTCTAATTTGAAAACTGCTGAAAGGTTGAAGTGTTTTTTCTGTGAGCAAATGTTTTTCTACTATTTCAAAGCTAACAATTGCACTTTTCTCTCTCGTCTTTGTTGGTCTTAATTTAGTTTTTCATTCCTCTCCAAAGGAAAAGGAAACTTTCAGTAACTTAAGTGTTGTTTTTTTGTTTGTTTTCTTTCCAATGCTTTCTAGAAATGCAAGTCTAGAAGTTTTGGTATTTTAATTGTACTTTAGATCCTAGCTTAGTGCTGTTTGGCGTTTGTTCCTCATACTACGGTTGTACTACAAAGCATCAGGCTTTTGCACTTGTTGGAAGTCAGATGTGAAATGTTTTCATCTTTCTTCAGGAACAGAAAGGATTAGTAGATTTTCATTCTTGGACGTTTTTATGCATCTGATTTTGCAGATATTCAGGATATCGCAGTTTACAAAAATGAACTGTTCTGTCTGCATACAAATGGAAAAGTTATACACCTCTCCCTTCTGCTGGTAGACCGTTGCATAGAGCGTCTGATGAGAAGAGGGTTCTGGACCCTTGCTGCCAGGGTCTGTTGTCTCTTCCAGAACTCAATTATTTCTTGCAGAGTAAGTAAATATCATAAGTGTGCAGTGCAGCTTTAGTTTCATGTTCTCCTCCTTCAGTAAGTTCCATGGGATGAAACTTAGCCTGCATATATGGTATCTTTAAAAACAGCCTTTTGCTTTTCACCTCTGCATTAGAATAATAATGTTCTTGTTTCGCTGTCTACTTTTAGGCAAGAAAAAATTTGCCTCTAGACAAGCTGGAGCACTTGAAGTCCCAGCTGGATATCTCAACCCAACAGGATCTTATTGCCCAACTGGAAGAACTGATTTCAAAGTTGGAACCTCCAGATTCTGCATGCAGCAGTAGGAGGAGCAGTATTTCATCTCATGTGAGTGTGTTGACAGTGCCAATAATTTTACCCTCTGTTTTTTATCTTTAAGGCTTAAAATCTTATTCCTCGCCCTGCAGGTGAGGCTTTCACATTTGTTGTGTCTATTGTAGCTGATAATGCTGTTCTCTAACATTAATGGAGTTAGAAAGGTATGAAATACTAGTACTTGCATTCTTTAGACTCTTATACCTCCACCTTCATTTCACGTTATTTTGTGGCTAATGGTTGAGATGTGGACAAAGATAGGCACAAAGGCGGCTTTCTCCGCAACTGAATTTAGTGTACTAGTGTGCTTCAGTAAAGGTCATCTAGACCGTAACTGTAGTATTATCTGGTGAAAGCCAGATGTCCACATGTTCAGAACAACCTAGTCCTATTTAAAATATTGTCTCACTTAATGAAGCTTAAGCAGAAGTCTGAGAAAACAATCAAAGTGTGTTTCTAGCATTCTTTTGGTTGGTATTGACATGGCTTCCCAGTACCTTTTCAAGGAAGTGCAACCATTTTGTAATTAATATCAGATCAGTTGCTGCTTTCACTCTTAACAGTGTTTAAAGTTTAAAAAAAAAAAAAAAGAAATGAAGTAAATTCCATCTTGATGAAGTATACAATTTTTTTTCCATTAACAGATGAGAAAGTAAACTATATAGACTGACCATGAGCAAAAGGATGTACGTATGTCCTGGAATCAAATACTTCTGAAGGGTCTGTAATTGTGCTAGCTAGGTATTGTTAACTGGCAAAGAGCATACAAGTACAATGGATTCTTGAGTACGCAGGTGCAAAGGAGTGAAGTGACTGACTCCAGGGATATAGTCTGATGCATGACTAAAGCAGAGATGTTCTTGTCTCATGGTCTTGCACTAAGTGCAACAGTTGTTTCATGGGCTACCTCCCTGCAAGCAATTGCAGCATATTCATCTTTATAAAGTCATTGGGCTACAAACTTAGCAGCATGTGTGTACTTTTGCATTCTGGGTGTGTCAAAAACATGTCGTTATATAGGGTTCTCTGGGTGCTAAATTATGAAGTACTTGGAGATTTTTTTGTGCGGGAATGGTTGTTTCATTTCCTTGTGGGAGGTTTAACAAAGTGCAACTCGCAAGACATCCAACTTTTTTCCCTTGTCTGACAGGAAAGCTTCAGTGTCTTAGACTCTGGAATATATCGTGTTATTAGTCGAAGAGGCAGTCAGTCAGATGAAGATTCATGTTCTCTCCACAGTCAAACGTTCTCAGAAGATGAGAGACTTAAAGAATTTCCTGTACACCAGGAAGATGAGCAGGTGGAACCTGGTAATGGTTCTTAATGCAAATATATTCTTCCGATGCAGTTGTTCTTTTACTCTACAAACATTTGATTGCTCTCATTTTCCACTCTCAAGTTATCCATGACTAAATCCTCTAATTCGATCAAGGGATCGCAGGCAACTCTCCTTCCAGCATCTATAAACTCCAGCATCTGTGATCTATAAAAGTCACATTCTTTTTTGAAACATTAGAGTGAAAAGCTGGCTTCATAGAAATTCACATGTTTAAAAAAAAAACAAAAACAAACAACCCCCATCCCCTCCCCAAGGGGGAAAAAAGTGATCCAGAAGTTTTTTTTCTGAGTCAGGATTTCACTCAATTTTTCCCCCCCCTTTGTGTAATTCAGCATTAATGCGAAGAGTATCTTTGCTGGCTACAGCACTGTTAATTCACTTCAAATGAGATTTGCTCACAGTCATTATCTTTCTAGTAGCTTTAGGATAAGAGTTTTTAACTTTCCTGCAGGATTTCATTTGTAGAGGGGATCATCTCTTAGATATGCATACATTAGCATTGGGATTGTTTAATTGTTAGTAACTAACACTTAGACCTTCCAGTGAGCTGCTTTTTTCCCCTCTTCCCCCCAGAATATGTGTCTCTGGAAAAAAAGCTAGAGCAGAACGTAATAGGTCTTGCTTTCTGCTCTGCTTGGGGTGGTGAGGAGCATGCGTAATTTCTAGGTATTAGGAAGTCCGCTCTTGAGCTTTTGTGGAGAGGGTATGCCATTTGAGGAGGGAGAGAATTTGGTTGCTTTGCCAGGGAAACTACAATGAGAGAGTACAGGAATTCATATTTACTCCTTGTCAGTAGTGTTGTCCTGCTGAGTAAAGCAAGTGCTAGTTGTAGTCCAGCAAATGTAGTTGTAGCCCATTCCTTTGCATTTTCCTCTTTTTCTGCTCGCTTGTTGTTTTTATGCTGATGCATATATTGCATCATTTCAAACATTAAATGAAGAATCTTAATTTTTGAATGACAGGAGTTGGAACTTTTCTATTTCGCTCGTGAAGCGATAAATGGGCCAGTTTGTTTCGAAGTAGAAAAGTTCTAGATGCTTCTTTGTGCACTGGGTACTTCGTTTGGCATTTGAAATAAATGTACTTAGTGAACGACTTTTTTCTGAACTGGGACTGGTTTCCCTGTTCACGTTTACGTAAGTTGTCATACATTCTTAGATTGCTAGATCTACATAAGGAACAAAAGCAGCCTTGTTAAGAGAATTTTAGAATCAATTGTGACCTTTAGGCACTATCTATGCAGAGAGATTGTGGATTGTGATAATAGAATTTTTGTAAGAGCATAGCATCTTTCTCTCACAAATGCAGATGGTTCTGACTGTTGCAAAATGCAGTGTCATCATTACTCAAAAGTATCCTTTTTCCATAGTCACATCACTTAAAGATACAGTGTCTGCGTGTGTGTTTGTACTAGAAAATGATTAATGCAAACACATTGCAGATATTTGCACCTTCTTCAAGCTAAAGTGTGAAAATATCCCATGCAGGTTATCCAGTAATAAATTAATGACTTGTGTTTTGTTTCAATGTTTCATTTCTGACAAGCCGCTATTTCATGATTCTTTATTTCACTTCCATTTGTTAGACAGCGTATCTCATGCATCTGTGGCGGTTGAGGCTGATCGGAATGAGACATTTCTCCCATTCAGTATTCCTTTGTCATTTCGTTCCCCATCTCCTCTCGTCTCTCTCCAAGCTGTCAAGGAAAGGTAAAACTTGCAGGAGATTCATTCATCCATTACATCCTGCCCCTTTTTCCTCCTCTGAATTTGCAGCATTGTCTGGTTTAGTTCACGCTGTTCTGCAAGAATGTAACATATGAAATAAAACACAGAAGGTGCAATCAAGTCTGTTAGTTTAAAGCTTTCATCTTGACTCTAATGAAGATATGGAGAGTTGATGCTAACTTCAGTGGAGCCAAGGTTTCAGCCTCAATTTTTGAATGTCTACTGAGAATGTTTAACTTCACTCTGTAAACTGTGGTTGTGGTTTGCACTTGGAACAAACTTACCGAATGTTGTTTTGGGATTTAGCTCTCCTGCTACTTAAATTACTGAAGGAACGCGAGAAGAATTCCTATATTGTTTGTGGGCAAACATTAAAACTTTTAAAAGATGCTAGATATTGCCAAAACATGCTCCCAAAGTGTACTGCTTTGTCTGCCTTCTTTCCTCCTTTCAGGGAATCTAATCAGTTCCCTAAATGTTTATGGAATAATGGTAGGTAATACTTAAGTGCAAGTAAATACGATAATGTCTGTTTCATGCAAAATAGAAGTTGACTTTTTAAAGCTCACTTTAAAAAGGGGGACAAATAAAGCAGATGCTAGTTAAGTTTCATATTTGAAACTTTGTCGGTGGCCTGCAAAATTGCTTGGTTCTCCTCTTGACTACTTAGGTATACAAATGACTCTTACATCACGAAACAAAAAGTTGTAGCTGATGTCAATAGTTGAGGGTCTCAGAATAAGCTTCAGAAGTGCATGCCCTGTCTTGAATTCTCTCTGCTCTCTAAGCAGTACGTAGGAGTTTATTAGTAGAAACATTTATTACTAGTAGTTAATGCTAAATTTTCGAGTGCTTGCTATATTCTGTTTTTCTATTTATGATTAAAGTACTGTTGTAGGTTAGAGCTATTTTTGTTCGAGTTTCCTTTTAAACCTGCCTTGTACACTACGGTCCAATTGTTTTATTATGTTTGAATCCTTTCCCTCTTCTCCAGCAAACTTGAACTTTTACTATACCTCAGTATAGTAAAAGATGCCGGATTCTCTGGTGAGAGAATCAAAGGATTGGCTTTTTGGTTTTTTGATACGCTTAAACTAGTTTTTAGATAGAAAGCAAAATTCTGAGTCTGATGTCCTAGTTCTCTTCATGGTGGCTGAAAGAGTTGATTTTTAGTATGTGCACTGACCTTTCTCTTGGTAAAGTATATTAAGGAATAGATACTGATGACATAAAAAGAATGTTTTTAGTAAGCTTTGTAATCTGAAGCGCTAACCTGGAGTACTGTAAAAACAGTTTCTCGCCACCAAGAAGGCTACAATTTCCTAACAGTGCTTACTATTCATAAGCTCTAAAATGCCAATCTGCATTTATTGTTATGTAAGTGCAGCTATCAAAATCTGAGCACTAATGTTAGTATGTGATCCTGTTTCTGAAGCCGCAAAAAAGCAAGTCTTAAATACTTGGTGATCCTCTGTGCTCAAAGTACAGACTACGACTGAAGTACGGGTTTTGAGCTTTTTCTTACTGTTTTTTGTTCTTTTTGGTCATCCCTGAGGTGATCCTTTTTTCAAGAGTCCTTCAGATTGTAAAGATTTCTGAAGTGATAGTTTGGATAGGAAGAAAGCACTTGATCCTTTCACTTGTGAACTTGGTACAATTTCAAATGTTTTAACTTGGCTCCTAGTGTTTCCAGCTTTGTACGCAAAACTACTGAAAAGATTGGCACCCTTCATGTAAGTCCTGATATTAGAGGGCGGCAAGAAGCAAAGGAGGATGAGCAGCTGCAGGAGGTGACTGTTAATGTAGTAGCATCTCCCCAGGAAGAGAAAGAGTGAGTGCAAAATCATGTCATCTTAACAATTACATTTGCTGGATGTGCTGAGGATAGCAATCTAAAGAATTTGCCATGTGAAGTAGAACAGGGAGTTGAATGATGCTTGTGTAAAGTTTTCCCACTGCCTTCGTTACTTTGGTGGTCTCACTGGTTCTCCTTGACTCTTTACCTAGAAGCTGGTGCAGGCAATAAAACCCTTCTCGATGTTGGAAAAACAATCTCTGTAATGTTGTAATAACTGAGGGGCAAGAATGTAGAGTATTCAGAAACCCTAACGTAGTGTACCCATGATGCCTGTTGCAGTTACGGACGTGAGTCTGGACAGGCCGTTTCCTGCCCTTACCGAATGCAGAATAAGCACTTTGTCTCCCTCAAAACATCCTTTTTTAATGGTAGTTATAAAACCCTGAATTCTTCTAATGGTTTTCCAGTGAATACAGAGCTAAATTGTTAAATTAGCAAATCATGAGACCATGAAACATTTTAGACTAACTTTCATATAGTGGTATGACACTAATTTTATTTAGTATTTTCTGACATCTGCTATAGTTGGAATATATTAATGGCTGCTCTTCATGTTCATTTCATCCATAATTTCTGTTTCTTCTTTAGAAAGAAGAGCTTTATTTTTTAATAATGGTATTAATATTGTTTCCTCACAGTTTTGAGGAAAACCTCACTTAAATTACGAGATTAAATACAGTGCTTGAGATGAGACTGAAATCGATATGTTCTGTTCCAGATCAGAGCCACAGAGCTGCCAGCTTCCAGAAGACGACCATCTAAGAGACCTTAAGGCCGCAACAGCGGAGGCTGTGTAAGCACGGAAACTTTTTTGTTCATGGATATATTGGATTTTGATAGAAAAATGACAAACTTTCTTTTTATTCATCACATACGTAAGAGTAATGCTGTAAACATGTATAAACATAATGTATAATGTAAACTGTAAGGCTCTCATTTGATAATTTTTCCCCCACATTAAAATCAAGTGAGGCTCACTATAAGCTTACAGAGGACTAAAGGATAGCACTAGAGTAGCTCTCTGCTAACTACAAGCATACTCTAAAGCAAACAAAACAAAAACCCTAACAAACAAAATAAACTCAGTTCTGAAATAAAGCTTGGGGAAATCAGAATGTAGTAAATGTAGTAACATCAAATGTGAAGAGTATACGTGGTCTAAATTCTCGTTGAAGCACTCAAAACAGAGTAATTCAAGTTTAGCGCAATACTTTTGAGTTATGCAGCACATACATACCGCTTGTGGCATCTTAAAACTGTCATACTCAGCAGGCTTCTCTTTTATGCTACAGAGCCAAACTCCAGGATCCACTGGTTTTGTTAGAACCGCAGTGTATGAGAAGAGTTTTACAGGAATGGCTTTTTTATCTGGAAGAAAAGTTTGGCAGCAAAGAGTGTTCTGCTCCATCTGTTAAGAAAAGCAAGACTGTGTGCGTTGAAGAACAGCGGGAAGCCCTGCAGCCGGAAAACCTGCAACCGGATCTAAATGGTGAAGACAGCGTAGACAAAGAACAGAGTGGTATCCTGGAAGCCTGCACTGTGAAAGAAAATACTGTTGAAACCTGTGTAGGCAAAACTGTGTGTGAAAATAACGTTAATTCAATGGGAACTTTGGACTGCTGCTTTCAAGTGTCTCCTCCATGTGACATAGAACAGGACGTTCAGAAAGATCTCACTGAGTTGACAACGCTGTGTTTTGAGCTATGTGTATTTTGTTGTGGAAATGGCAATGCAGAGGAAAGTTCTGATCAAACTCTGACACTAGCAGCTTCATGGACCTTGGCTTGTAGGTTTATACAAAGCTACTTCTTTCTTCTGGATTTGAAAAGACTAAAGCAGTGTATTATAACCAGTTATGCAAACAGTCCTAATGTGTGGGAAACATACATGGCAGGATTGAAAGGTAACTAACGAGATTTTATTACTAGCAAAACTAGTAAATAAATAAAACCAAGATTTTATTGGGGCAGGGGAAAGCTTCAAAATACGCACCGGTTCCTATTTGCAAATTTTCCTTCAGATGGAAGGAAATAATGTGGTAGTTTGGGTGCAAGGGGGAGTTTGACGAGCGTGGGGTTTTTTTGGTGGGTTATTGGAGTTCTTTGTTTTTACCCACAAGGCCTGTTTATAAAGAACTGCTGGTTCCTATGAGGCAAAGCCTCCCCCCACACCTCACTTAGCAATTCCACAGAAGCTGCTTCTGAACCTTTTACTTCATACACAGTTTGCTGATTGAGCACTGTAGCGATTACAAACCAGATGTGTTTAAAACCAAATATATGTACCGCAAAGAACAGTTGTGAAGTATCTTAATTAAAATCAAATGTATATAGTAACAAGTATAGTATCAAGGCTAAGGGAAGGGCTTCACCATTTGCATTAGAAAGGGAAGGTTCAACTTGGAGAAACATGGTTAATGCAAAATGAAACGGAACAGGGAGATGGTTCTGTGAAAGCCAATGGCTTGTGATCACTTCAGACTTCCTTTTCCATAGAAACCCTTTCTGTTCTTTTTCCTGTCTCTCTTGCCTTATTGAAACAAGGCTTCCTGATTATATTGGAAAACAGAACTTGGTCTGTTATGTGCGTTCAGCTTCTGCTTTATGCGTTTTCTTGTAAGACTGAAATAAAGTCTTGACTTTGATTCTCTACTGACAGAGTAGCTAAACAATAGAAATTTGTTTTGACGGCTGGTATTTGGAGTTGTGCGAATCTGTTCACTCTCCAGATTCTTATGAGAGCTTTAGAAATGAAAGTAACGTATGCATTCCCAGTTTGTCCTCAGTGAGCTACACCCTTTCCTGTAGATAAATACCCCGTTTTTGCAGGATTGGGGATTGTGTTGAATTCTGCTTCCTGTGAGGTCAATGACCAAATTGAAGTTTTTATTTATTAATAGAAGCAAATTGTATTTTGCTGAAAACTAATGTACAGTTGCATTATATTCAGCAAGTCATATGTGGGCTATCTTAGTTCACGTGAGAAACTGCTTCCTCTGAAGTCTAAAGAAAAGGAAAAAATAGACTATTATTCCATGTCTTAACTGTATCGTTTTAACTGTGACTTGTAAGCACAGCTTAATAATGTTGACTTCTATGAAGTGAACAAGTAGAATCTGTTCAGTCGTTATCACTGTTGGCTGAAGAGAAAATTCCATTGAAGTAATGGAAATTTGTGTTCTTTATGCCTAACAATGGCTGTGTACGTGTGTCAGGCAAAAAAAAATCTTGCCTCTATCTTGTAACGTGTACACCGATCTATTTCAGAATTAACTTGTCACAGTCCAGTGGTTTTGGCAATGGAAAATGAAGATATGTTGAAGCTACTGAAACAGCTGCATGATTTGGGGCCTTGGGAAGATAGCCCTCTGTTACTGGCGCATGCTCAAAGGTGTGTAGCCTATTTTTCTTCTTTTCCATGTTTGTTTGTTTGATTGGCTTTCCCCCCTCCCCCCAACTGTTGTATATCGTTAACCCACTCTCAGGATTGGGTTTTTGAGAACTTTTCACTTAGACAGAAAGCTTCGTGAAACGTTATCTAGTTAGGGACTATTTTTAAGAGATCACCTTTCAATAGTATCTTGAACTTGCAAGAGAACTTGAATTTGAAATAGTTATTCTGTCCTGGTAAAACGGTAATTTTGCTCCTGTCTGGCACTGAAAATAGTTTTTATCTCTTCTCTTTAGGCTTTATGAAAAGTTTGGGGAAACAGCTCTTCGGCCCTTGATCAAGTTCCACCCCTCTATCTTGCCTTCAGATATCAGGCAGCTTTGCAGGAATGACCCAGCTCACTTTTTAGCATATTTAGATAGTCTTGTGAAATCAAAGCCAGAGGATAAAAGGTAAAGGGAATGTATCATCTTTTCTTCTGTGTCTGGACTATGCATAATGTAGCTGTTCACATGTTTACTATTCCTGTATCTATTTGGTGCTCTTTAGCATTGGGTTCTAATTGATTCTGCCAGTTCCAGCTGGTCTCTCAGCCTGGGTTATCCATTAGATTAGTTCCTATTTTTAAGAGGATTTTTCTGTATGATACTTTAAATGGAACGATATGTGTTCCTGTGGCTGCAGTTCAGTATACCAAGGTTAGCATTAAAAAAACCTGTCAACCTGATCATTTTCTGATCTGTCCCCAGCAGGCCCTAGAAACATAAATCATTCTAGGCTTTTCCACATGCTGAGAATTGCTTTTATTCTTCCAGGCACTGCGTCATGATAGTTAATCTACATTCATGCTTTGAGATTTTGCGTGTGTGTGTGTGTGCGCACGCGCACACGCATACAATTTTTACTTCTCCATATCCAGTATAGTTAAAACAGGTATTTGTTCCCATGTACTCTGTTTTCTAGGTCATCTTTCCTTAGATCTCTTCTGCAGCCTGAATCATTACGACTAGATTGGCTGTGCCTGGCAGTTTCTCATGATGCACCGCAAAGAGCAAATACTGTGGAGGGGGAAGGCAATCCCAGGTAAAGTAGGGTTCACGTGAGTTAAGCAAAAAGCTTTACCTGGTCTGTAGGCTTTTGTTTGGATCTTATATAGCAGTTTGAATGCCACTGAATCAGTGGAGCATTTCTTGTATTTGAGAGTTCAGCAGAGGCAGCCAAAGGATTAAATAACTTCCTTATCTGAAATCTGTTTCAGAAAGACTGTACTGAGACTATGTACAGTTTCATTCATTTTCCTTCTCATTTCATAAAGCTGGCTTTCTTGTAGAGAAAACGTTAATTTTCTGAAGAAAACTATTAATGCTCTAAAACTGAATTTCTCTTCTTCCAGGCCACGATCCCATTTGTTTACTTGGGGCTACAGTCAGCTAATTCTGCTTTTGATTAAACTTCCAGCTGACTTTGTAACAAAAGAGAAGATGGCTGACATCTGTAAATCATATGGGTAAGATGAAAACGCGATTATTTTTGATATGTGGCTAGTTAGGATTCTAATGGACACAAACGCAAAGATGCAAAGGAAAACCACCCATCTGCTCCTTACTTGAATCGCTTTCATTTAAAAACCATCTCCTGTTTTGAAGATCAATTCTAAGAGTCTGTTTTAATGCACTTGGTACCCTGCTGTTCCTTCTGGTTTGGGAGTATTCCGTGTCCCCATTCTGCAATGAGCAGTATGGTTTCTGATATTCAAGAAATTCCGTTGCTTTTGTCTTCTCTGATATATAAAGAAGCACTTAATTACTGTTGGCTTATAGTTTAGACTGAGCGTTTGATTCCTGGAAATCTTTACTCTCTTATTTAAGATTCTGGCCTGGATATCTTTATCTCTGTCTGGAGCTGGATAGAAGAATAGAAGCCTTTACTAATATTGCTCATTTGGATGATTTGAGCCTGTTGAATGGAGAAGATGGTTAGTGAATCTTAAGCTGTGTAAACATACCTCTGTAATACAGGAATCTTCCCTTCTTGTATACGGATTAGGTTTGTCCAAAGTTGAATGAGGCTTAAAGCAGACAAGCAAACAAAAGAACCCTTGCTTTGGTAGAGGTTCAGCTAAGTATGTAGTGCGTCTTATTTGAAACCCATAAATTGGGTGTTGTACTCCTGTATTTTGATACTGTGCTTTCTGAAATAAGTCTTGCTAGAAAATGTGTAAAGCCTCGAGAATTTTGAGTTGTTTATCAGGTAGAAGTGAAAGTTAAACTAGGTGTTGTATGCAGAGGAATAGCTAGCCTGACTGCCTAGTTCTAAACTCCTCCCCTCCCTGTACAAGATACAATGAGCAAAGCATTGTATGCTACGTGGCAGAGCTTCAGAAGAAAATTCCCAGTAGCCTTTAGATGGCCAAACAAATTCTTGGCTTTAGACTTAATCCAGAGTCTTAAACACCGAATTATTGTAAAAGTTTGTGAATAGTTGAGAGCGGGATCTTTACACTGAGTCAGTCAAGGCAGCACACTTCTTGTACACAATTTGCTTGTTGCTGGCACTTGAGGTTTTCTTAAATCTTCAAAGAGAAAAAATGAATGCTATGCTAGGTTTCTTTTTAAGTGCAGATATATTTAAAATAGTAGACTTGGAAAAATCTTTGTTTTGCAAATTATAAGTGGTAACGATCTCATTTTGAATCCAGGTTTGATTCCAGAGACTGTAGAAGAGTGGAAGTTTCTTCTGCATCTTGCAGAAAAACACAGCGCTGCTTTTCACCATCACGGCATACAGAATGGGAATGCCGTCAGCAATGGTAGCTCTAGCTGGGCAAACTGCATCACTGTGGAAAACGTATCTCTCTTATTGGCAAAGGCAGTTGGCCCAAATCGTGCCTTGCCTCTGTTGCAGGAGTGTGGCTTCTCCCTAGAACTGTCTGAGAGATTTACTAGTGTGTGTGAGATACTGAGAATTGCTGAGAAAAGGCAGAGGTAAGATGGCACATCAGCAGAAGTTCTGTCTACGCACACTGTTCATTCTGGGTCTTCCTATTGCTTCAAGTTTTCTTATTGGTTCACAAACAAATAAAATACTTCACACTTTGTCTTCAGAACTTTAAACTCAGTTGAAGGCTGTTCTCTTACTTAGCAGCTATGCATATGCAATATACACCCTAAAAATGGAAAATGAGGAAACAGGAAATAATACATGAAAGGTGGCTTCTTTTGAAAAAAAAGAATGTTCTTTATTGACTAGAATCTGTTCAAATCTAAAGAACTGGTCAAGAAGGGAGACTTCTTTGCTCTCCCATTACAACTATCTGTCCAACTTCTTCCTTGGCTAAGCAGATGGGATTTTAAACATCTGCTATAGACCACTATACATAAGTTGAAAATTTAAAACCTGTTTTGTTATGGTAACAGTTGAGGAACAGTTACTTCAGAGACGCTATTTTAATTCTGAACATGGAAGCAGATGATACTGTATCCTGAAAAGATTGGTGGCAATTTAAAGGCTTTTTTAAAGCCTCTGTCACATCAAGCCCAGGCCCTCTGGGATTGAGAGAGTCTGAGTGTGCATTTCGTGAAGGAGAGGTCTGATTTGCTTAGTCCTTCAAGTACTTTCAGATCTGACCTACTCCCTTCAAAAGAGAACATGTGTTGAGGTCATGATGTTACTTCTGAAACAGAATCATGCTTTTGACAAACTTCGCTTTAGCGAACAAAACCAAACCCAGTTGTTCCTTCTGTTGCATTTTTTAGTGTTTAATTTTTGTTTTCCTTTGCTTTTTTTGCAGAGCCCTGATTCAGTCCATGTTGGAAAGGTGTGACCGGTTCTTGTGGTCTCAGCAAGCATAAAAAACAATTCAGAAAACTTTGGGAACATATTTTTTACTGTAACTATTGTATATTCAAGTGCCTCTTAAACTTCATAGGCTCTTAAAGAAATGAACTCCTCTCTAATAATTTCACTATTTTCACTTTCCATCTGGGAGGTATCCAGGAGTTCCTGACAGTTCTTCCTAATTCCTTTGGAAATGAGTTTTGAACTCCACAGCTTAAATTGAAACAATCCGGTATTTATCTTGAAATTATGCTTAAAGACTTGAGATGAAAATTCCTGATTTTTTTTTTTTTTCCTTCTGAGTCTACCCGATTTAAGTGTTAAAGATGGGAGCGCCTAAGTATTAAATTACTGTATATAAAATTCATTTTGTGTTTGTTGCAAAAACGAGCAGCCATTCTTGGGAAATAGCGACGCGCATGCTTGTTTCATTTTCCTGTAAATGACGTTGATTTTTATCAAGTAGCTACAGGGAATGCTTGTTGCAGTATCTGTTTTTTCTCTCAAATTATATGGACTGTTCTTGCCAATTTGAAAGTGCATTAGAGGAGCCAAGTCTTAAAATGGGGGGGAGTATTTTTTCAGGAGTGCAGAAATTGATTAAAAATGATTAATCGAAGATTTTAAGTGAACTAAACGTTAAACTGTCTAAGCATGGTATTTCTAAATAGCTGGTATCTGTTGGTGAAATACGACTGCAGACTTCACCTGTGGTATTTCAACAGAACTTTAGGACACGGTATTCCCCAGTGAACGTTGACCTTTCTGGAAAGTGAGAGGATCACATGCCTTATTTTAATTACCTTTTCAAAAAGCTGGAAGTTTAGACAAGTATTTTTAGATGGATGCTATCAAGCAAAAACTCTTTTAAAATATCTGTGATAAGATGAATGTTCATTAAAGCACTTAATTTTTCATGTACAGAACTATGCTTTGTACTAGCACCGTTTATGCACTTAATACGTATTTGGGCAGGTTTCTTTATAGGCTTCTGGTTTTGGCCCTTCTCACTGTTAGACTATCACTTTTTTAGCACAAGGCTGTGGTGTCTGGTCAGTAGTTGATCTTTGCAGGGGTCCTTTAGGAAAAAAAAAACAACCAAAAAAACAAAAAAATTTAACACATGAATTACTCATAAATTTTATTCCTCCTAAAACTTGTAAATTTTCTCATGAAATGACTTGAAAGTATTTATTTTTAAAGATCAAGAAAGCATCTTACTATGTAGTTTTGCAGAATGTATGCTGCTGCAAAACAATGCTTTTTTTATTTTCATCAAAAACATGACAGAGTAATGCAGCTTTCGAACTTTGTGAGGTGCAGTGTGACTTTTTCACCTCAGTTGCTGCAAAGACTTTATGGTAGAGGATTGGTTACTTTACTAGAGGAAATTATGTCAACAGGTATAGAATTAGCGGCAGGCTTTCAGCTGTTAATGTTATTGCTTGTGGAAAAGCAGTTAAGTATTTAAACATTTCAAGTGTTTTGTGTGGTTTTAGATTTTGGAATTTGGAAACAGCATAGATCCTACTATCAGAAACACCCCATGCTGCTACAGTAAGACTGTTGGAATAGGAGCCAGGCACCTTCAGTTGTTACTCTGCATCATGTGTGTGATGAGATCCAAACAAATCAGGTGACAGTGGTGCCTGTTTTCTTATCTGCTGGATGAGCATGTTGCTACCTCAGTCGGTCTTACTGTTAACTAACAGTGTTTAACATAGTACTTTGAAGTAGTACAACTTTAGCTGAGTACCAAGTGTTCCCATCTTGGGGGGAGCGAAGCTTGGTACATTCTCAGAAAGCTGACTTTCTCTTTACTTACTGTTTCACATTATTTTGTTCTTTAGGAAGCTTGTATACATAGCAGCTTTTCTCACTTGCATGGGTTTTTTGTATGCTTCTTGAAGTTATGGTGGGGTTTGGGCTTTTTTTTTTTTTTAAACAATAAACCGTTAACTTTCAGCACAAAGCTTTTTCATTTTGTATAGGAATGGGCATACATCTAACAATGGCAAGTGTAAAATCTAACAGTATCTAAAGTAAGCTTGTGCTGACAATCTCAACTAACTTGGGTATTAATAAAGAGTAAGAACGTACTCTTTGGAGAAGAGTAAGAAAATTGTTTTTTCCTGTTCTTGATGCACGTATTTTCATGTATTGGTAAGGTGAAGAATATAGGAAATGAAATGGTCTCATCATTGGAACATCCCAGTTGTACAGGGCAGCACCATCATCCTAAAGCTTCCTCGAGGATCGCACTGGAGACGTGACTCAGTGCCTACCAGCTGCAGTCAGCCACCCAGGCGGTGGCTGTATGCCACTGATGGTTTGGGCCGACCTGCACTGAAGCAGAAGAGTATGCTCATCTTGTGTTTTGCTAGCTGACCATTAGTGGCAGGGGCCCTGAAGAAGCACAGATGAATAAAGTCTGGAGAGACAGTAAAAAGAGGCTCCTCTTAAAAATGCCCCACATGTGCCTCAAAACATTATTTTACTGTTAGAATCATCACTAAAACTTACTGGAGTATCCATTTTATTTAAGATAAACATCTATAAGCGCAAGAGAGACCAAGTTTACAGTCATTCTGCAAGCAAACTGAGGTTGACAGGTATGGTATTAGTAAATATTTCATACAGCAGTATGACAAAATTCCCTGACGTGAACTTAAGATAAGGTAGTATAGTTTCCCAGAATCCAGAATAACTGCATGTGCTATTGTGCCTGAGCTGGTAATTCACTTCATCCTATTTCTCAGTTGGAGGTTTATTGATTTGGATTGCGAAATAACTAGATTGCAGACTGTAGGTTGCATTTATAGATGTTTACAATTAAAGGACAAACAGTTTGAGGGGTGGATTTTCCAAATAGCTTTTATCTTAAATATATCAGAACGTACACCCTTGGAAGAAAATCCCTGAGGGGCCCCTAGCTGTGTTATGTTGGCCCAGTGTGTAAATACTACAGTACACCCACAGTGTGCGTGTTTTGTGCTAGGCCAGAAAGGACTATTCCATTCAAACCCTTCTGCATGCTCATGGTTGTGCTACTTGCAGAAGATTTTGGTTTGGAGCACACGTGGAACAAATGAGATCAGAAGTACCCTCTGAACCAAAAATGTCTGAGCACGGGCAGGGAAGCGTTCCTTAAGTCAGTTTTGCAGGCAGTGCTGTGTTCTAGGTCCCTGGTCACAATGGCATGTGCGTTATTGAGCTTGTACCCCCCTACCTAAAGGAAACATTTTCCAGTCTTGATTTTATTTTAGTCCTAATATGAAGAATAATAATAGAGAGAGAGAGAGAGTTAGGGCTACTTGTAGCCAACAGAGAAGGCATGTGAACTGATGTGTACCTTAGAGGCACGAGCTGTCACCAAGATGTGAACAGTGCAGCAAAATAAAGCACTCCAGGCCCTAGAATAACTCAGCTGTTACACCATTAGGGGTGAGGTTCATGGATGGTGGGGGATGAAATGGTGTCTGGCCTGCTGCTTTTTGCAAAGTGTTCTTTGCTAATGAGTTATGATCCAGATTTTCCTTGTCTCAAAGTTATTTCTTTCAGAGATCAGTGTACTAGATAATATACCTTTCCGCTCCAGGCCTGTTTCTGGAAAGTGTCTCTTCCTCTTTTAAGTTCCTGTTTGAAGTCCAGGGGTACCCAGGGAGGTTAGCTGCTGGCGCTTCATTAGCTCTGTTGTTATGATGCCTCTCTTACCTCACACGCTGCCCAACTCTAGCTGCTAATTGTTTAAGTGACAGTGGTGAATAGGACAACTACGCATGCGTCTTCTGCAGAGAATTTAAACATGTTAAATCATGTATGAGACCACACAAGGGGGAGACAGTATGCGCACTGAACCTAGGGTGAACTGCAAAACCCAGGCCAAACCCAGAGCCTTCAGCAGGTAAAAAACAGTTGTTACACAAGGGAAGCAAGCACCAAGCGGACTTTTTGAGACATCTCTCAAAGACCTGGCTCCTAATGCGAGAGAGTAGTGGGTACTCAAACTATGAACCATATCAGAAGGGCCTGCTGGTTAATGCACTTGATTTAAAATGCATTAGAGATGTGGCTGTATGGATCTCCTTTTGCTAAAATGCTTTTTCTATACCATTGTATCAAAAACATTCCTTATTTAGACCACCTGAGCCCCACTGAGACAATGTTGCAGCAGGATGGCTTAAAGTCCCCTGAGAGGGATCCATGACAGAAAACGGGAAGGACAAACCATACAAGCCTTCCTCGTGGTGGCTTGAGGACATGCTATCTTAAAGTGTTACCAACAGGGACATAGGTTTACACAGTTTGTTTTGCAACGGAGCCCAAGAGCAATGCTTCATCTTTGCCCATCCACCATCTCTGTTATCTCAGCACGTGCGGGTCTTTCATTTAGTGGTTCCTGCACCAGGCCTGGTTAAGGCGGTTGATCTTTCCTTCTAGATAGAGAGACCTGACCTTGTGCTTCACAGTCAATGCAGGTGATAAGTAATTTCTGAGTTCTCTCTAGGACAAGATCCAAACAGAAGTGTTACACTTAAGCCAACTATAATGTTTTGAGCACGCTTGAGTCTTCAAGGCAGCTTCCCATACTGCTTGTTATGAGGAGCAAAATGGGCCTGTGGACATTTGAAGAAGTGCCATACGCTTTTTTTTTTGTTTGTTTGTTTAATTGTGCAACAAGAAATACGGACTTTCGGTAAGGACAAGGACAGGCTTCCTGTAATGTTTTCTGTGTTGAAAGTGGAGTGGTGGTGGGAAATTCCTAGCCCTGGGGATCCGTTCCAATTTCCTCTTTCTTTATGTTTGAATCACTTATAAATACCCTTTCTGACTGACTCTGAGGACATAAGACAAAACTTCATCTCCTTGTGGCTTCGCTCTTCTGCAGCAGTGAGTGGTTTTGTGCATCTGAGCGAGAGAAGCAGTGTTTTTATCTGGTATTTGGGAACAGGACTAATGCTTCAGCATATAGGATTTCATTGCGCTCAGTTAAAAGGAGCAGCAGGGAATGCTAAAATGCAAGTTTCTCATGCCTGTCTGAGAGGAGGCCTGAGTATAGCTTGTGCTTCTGCAGCGGGCATCAGTCCTTGCAGGGGAATAAGGGGGTTCTTGGGCTGGCTATCAGTGTTGGGGGCAGCATCTGCTACTGGTGCAGGTGCCCTGGAACAGCTGTGTGATGAATGTTACGTCAGAAATCTCTAGAAGGTGCTTCAAACGCTGCGAATCTCTCTGGTTTTCTCACAGGTCCGTGACAGCCTTGGGAAAGGAACTATGAAGCTCTGTGTCTGCTTCGTGTTGCTCTCCATCATTGCATGTGCAAGTGCTGAAAACCCGTTATACAGGGGTGGAAAATTTGCCTGGGATGCCATAGGAGGTCAGTTGGTCTGTGAACCCAAGTCTTTCTCTCAGGAAACCACTCCCCAAGCAAAGGGACTACATGCAGTCCCTGGGTGCAGTCCTCTGGGCAGGAAGGTCCACACCTCCTCCTCAGAGCCCCTGGTGGTCTCTTACTAGCAGAGGGCAGCGATCAGCCCCTGCAGGCCCCTTCTGTGAGCACACCCCTGTGAAAGGCCGATGTGCAGAAGTGCTTCCCTGTGTTAGCGTTCCTCAGGTTTTTCCAAGCAGAGCACAAAGGGTTTGACAGGATGGGCCATGGCTCGGGCTTGAAGGTGCCCCTGCAGCTAAGAACAGGAACTGCAGGAGCAAAAGCGTGCTTATGGGGAAGGAACTTTTTGTGGATAACCTGGTGGCACAAACCCTCTGGCAGCCAACATCCCAAAGTGAAGCTGCTGGCTTCTCTGGTGCATAGCACGGAACCACAGGGCCATTGCCCTCTGTAGAGAGAGAAGCGAGGAGCTTCCTCTGCCCCTGAAGTGTCACGTCCAAGCTGTGCAAAGCTTCTTTTCAAGGAGCCCCCTTTCTTCTTTGCAGATCTCCCGTAGAAGAAGTGAAGGTTAGTAAAGGAGCTTTCTCAGGGGAGCCCTGGGGACGCTTTTTGGCCCAGCAGTAATCCATGAGCCCCTGGCTGAAATGGTACTCGTTGCTGGGGAAGACTCTTTAAAGTTAACATAATCTCTCTGCTTTATTCAGGGGCATGGGATATGTACAGAGCATACCAAGACATGCGTGAGGCAAATTATAAAGGTGCTGACAAATACTTCCATGCTCGTGGGAATTACGATGCTGCCCAAAGAGGCCCTGGCGGTGCTTGGGCTGCCACAGTGATCAGGTAATGGAGCGTGCGTGGCTTGTGAACAGCGACTTACTGGGGGGCTGGGCATGTTAGCTAGCGTGGAGCCCTTGCTGACTTGTACTCAGCTTTTGACCTAGAAAGAGTGGAGGCAAGGAAGCGCTCGACCTCCGAACAGCTTGTCTCCTTAAGGAAAGGAGCCTCTCCTCTTGCAGGGGAATTAGGGTTTTCTTGTTCTCCGAAGCGGGCAGCTTTCCTACCCCCTGTGTTTCTGGTGCTACGGGACTCTTTTTTTTTTCCCCTTGCTGATTCGTTTCCTAACAAATTTGTGGCTGTTACGGTAGTCCTCAGATAAGGACTCGGCATACGTTTGCTTCTCTCTCGCATTGAGAAGTCCTGCGGAAAAGCTAACCTGAGGCGAGCGAGGAAACCAACGCAAAGCGATAGCGTGACAGGGGAGTTACGGTTGCTTCAAGTGGTCCTTTTTTTTCCCCCTCCCCCCTTGCCAGCAACGCCCGGGAGAAGTGGCAGAGCCAGGTGAGCGGCCGCGGCGCCGAAGACACGCGTGCTGACCAAGAGGCCAACGCCTGGGGCAGGAGTGGCAGGGACCCCAACCACTACCGGCCGGCCGGCCTCCCCTCCAAATACTAACGGGGTCCCTCTCTCCCTTTACCCCGTGCTCCGCATAGCCTGAATAAAGACATGTCCCCGCTTTACCTCGACTCGCCCCTGTCGCACTCGCGGTTCCGCTTGAACGGGCGGCGCGGACCGGTTCAGACCGGCTGGGGAAGGGCGGG